ACCCCAAAGCCACCCCCTGTCTGGTCAGTGGCATGCCTACTCACCAACAACCTACCCCATTTACTAAAATAACAAATTCAGTTGGTCAGATAAAAATTTAGAGAAGCAGAAAATTTGGGAAAATGAGTAACTTATAACATACCAAACAAAATCCAACCCATCTTTATGACTTTTTTCTTTTTCTTGTTGGCCATATCACTGACAAGGATGTATATAATCGTGTGATAATTTTAACCTATAGGACAGAGGACTTATTGGGCAAAAACCCAATCCAGTCCCCTACCCAAAATTATAAATTGGTTAAACAGAGAATTTACGAAAATGATTATACAAAACAAACGCTATTTTACAACTTCCCTCTTAACATCAGAGTCCAAATGCAATTTCAGGGCCACCAACCCTGTTCTGAATTGCGACCTCCTGTGCTTGAAACGAGCTGCAGATTCTTTTAATATTAATCAGCAGAGTTGTGACTTGGTCACAGTGCCATCCTTGCCCTGGAGGTAGGATCGTTGCAGGCAACCTTTCATCCAACATGCCAGCAGCCATCTCTGGCCTGGGAAGATTAGTGAAAGTGTCATTGACAATTGATGCAATCTCGATAAACTCCAGGGCCATACACCTCCCCTGGAATTCGGTAGCATCATTGTATCATCGGGGAGCCATGGTCAGATTAGCCTTATGTACACAAGGAATACGAGTGAATGACTGTAAAGTATTCAAGGCAGCGTGCGTGCTTAACACCTGCCAATTTCCGATAATCAAACATTGCATACTCGAAATGTTTCAATTTAAATGGTGTGCTGCCTTGATATCTTGTGATTATATATTTATAATGATATTATTAATGGTCACGAAAAACAAAATATTATCAATGAAAATCTTGTAATTACCCAACAAGATCTGCTCCGCGTTTTGATTTCCAATTAAAATATTTATTATAACCAATAAAGACAACAAATGTATATATCAATACAAATAAAAAATAGTACCTCTGGTTAGTTATTAACATGCCTTCTTTAGAAGATTCGCATTTTGTCACCTTGGACTCTGTCAAAAAATAAATTGTTTTTCCAAGAAAGAAAAAAATCAATTCGCGTCTGTCCTACCAAAAAAAAAACCAATAGGATAAATAATCAATGTACGCGTCGATCAAATCACAAACTTCTTTTTTTAAAAATTCAAAATGTCGAAATCTAATACAAAAAAAAGAAACAGAAATCAAGACTGGGAAGAAGTAGCTCGGTAAGTGTTTTTAAGGATGGCGGTGGTGGTTATCGCCCGCCACCTGTCGTCGTCACTCTAGTTCACAGAATTAAAATAGACATTTTGTTTTTTAGTCAAAATGAATTAACGTCATCACCATCAGCAAATGATCATGAATACATTATAGATTTTGAAGATATTTTGGACAATGAACCAAAATTTGGTTCACATTTTAATCATGTATGTATTTTAATTAATTATTAAAAAATGAAGAAATTTTATTATTATTTATTTTTTTTTAATATAGAAATTGAAAAGTATTTATGTAAATTTAAAAGAAATTTATGGGAATGCAGATTCTTGGTAATTTTTATAACCAGATGTGTATATAATTATTAATGTTAAAATGCAAAAGATTAGATTTTAATTTTATAATTATTATACAGTGATGTTATAAAAATGGGCGTGATAAACTTGGATGATGAAAGGAAAAACAAATCTAGTGGATATATCACAATTTCAGAGTTATATAAATGAAATTTTAATAAATATACAGATGATATAATTGAAAACCAAAGAATCAAAAATATCCTAAAAGAAATACTCCAGATAACCAACATTGATAAAGCTAATGAATTCATAGATAAGTACAAAGTACTTATAAATATAAAATTGGATACTGAATCAATAATAGATAATTTTATTTTTTCAGTAGTGAACATTTTGTAAGTCTAATCTAATTAATGAATAGGATGAGATTCAGTATTATATGATATAATATAATATTAAAAATATAATATTTTCTTCTATTTAGTTCTGGGTTTTTTATTTTGGACAATAATTATTTCAAAGATCAATATTCAGAAAATCATATAGGAGCAGTAATATATGCTCCACTTTTCAATAACTTATTTCGTCAAGAGTGTTATTCAATAAGGCTCAATGAGTAATTACCATTTTATATTTTAGATCTTTTAAGAATCTGTACTTTTATTTATATGAACCCTTTTTATTTGGTAGTCAACTTTTGGCTAACAAGGAACGAAGAAATCTTGGAAATGAGGAGAGAGTTAGATTGGCATTGGTGCCTGACATCAAATTGACTTATTTAAGAGGAAATATGGAAATCATTGTAATAGAACACCAGAAACAAATTATTTTAGATGGATTAAAGAAAAACAAAAAAGATACTACAAAGATTACTATAATGATGCATGATCTGCTGACAAAAATTTCAAAAGACTTGGATAGTAGAGAGCTATCAGATCATATCAAAAATATAAATGTGTTTGGTGTAATAACATCAAGTAAATATTATAATAATGGTAGATCCATAAATATTTTATTATATTAATCTAATAAACTTATTGAATACATTTTAGAGCTAGACATTGAAATATATTCAATGCAGATGCCTGCTCCTGAGCTGTATGTGTTTAATAAGATATTTGAATTCAGCCTCCCAACAAATGTGTTTGATTTTCCTGAAATCTCTCGGGCATTGAGTTTCTTAATTAAGTTTCGAGTGAGTTTGTTTAACTTTTTATTCTGTTTAACTCTTTTATTATCAAGAAAAAATTTTAATAATTTCAAAAACTCCTATACAGCGTATTGTGGATCAGAATTACTTTAGATATATAAATATACTTAATAATAATGAACCTGTTACACCCACACAACA